AGATTAAGTTAGGGTAGGCATTGGCTAGAATTCGCCTGTTAGTTGGACAATACCTTACTGTTGATTAATTGTGCAATAATTTGAAATACTGAAAAATAAAGTCGATTATTTATTTAAAAGTACCCTTCATTGAAAAAAAGGGCATTATAATCACTACATACACGATACATAAAACACTGAAAATTATTTTTGAATAATTCTTTTGACTTCTATTTTTTATAAACACGTGAACCAAATCCCGCGTCGATATATAAGCCCAAATCCTAGTCGATACGGAAACCTGTCAACGAAAATAACGCAAATTTTGACGGACTCTAATTGGATGGTGTTACTTTCGCATGCCAGACAGCCAATCAACATTAATGTCATGTTTTCGAATATGACCTCACGAGCAAAAAAAACTATTGGCACCGACACGTCACAAGATCTCGACCGCCGTCCGACGGAAAACTGTTGGCAACGTAAATTATTTTGACTTCGAAAATACGCTCTGAACTTGACTTTTGACCGGTTCAATTTGGTATTGTTTCCCAAACAGTAAACTTTGGGATAACAACGTTGTATATCGACGAGTTGGAATGCCTGGACGCAGACGGAGGCAGTAAAACCGAAGTACTAATTTGAATGGCAATAGTTTTTACTGGTCTCAAGGCAAACACGTGTTGAGAAAAGATTGTACTAAACGTCCCTAGAATGCCACTTTATTTGACGCACACCGCGAATTTCTTGAAATTCGTGGCCAGTAAACCGACTTAAAGAATATCGGAAAATATATCTGCAGTGGGTAACATTTTTCGACCTAATTTTAAACCAGAAAATCGTAGTTACATAGAAATGACATCAGAGTACGCTCAAACCTGACAAATAAATAATTTATGTATGGTACAACACTGAGCCGGTTAAAAGAAAAGTGAATGTAACACCTTCCGAAATAGCTTTAACTGGACTCACTGGCTTCCAGAACTCACTGCTCGTAAATGGTACGCGTAAAATGGCAATACATAAACATTATTTTTGAATATTAATATTGTGCAACTATTAGCATTACTCATTTGTAAGCCAAAGTTTTTCAAAATTATTTCTTGATGCGAGATATTTGCTTAGTTTAAATTATAATATAATGGGTTTGTGATTATTCTCAATAGAATTTTCAATATAGCTAGCTTTCAGCAAATCTGGATGAACTTCAACCGCTAGCAATTAGCCGTTAGTCGCATTTTTACAAAGGTGCTTTTTCGAAAGGAGCTTTACCTATTTATTGTATGTATGCGTAAGGCTTCATTTATTTATTTGTTCTTTGGGGCACAAACAGATTAAACTACAACAGTGTCCTCTTAAGAATTACATTAGAAGCACGTAATAATATCCAAAGCTTAGTTAACAATAATACCAAAAAAATATAAATAAATAATAGCGATGAATGGAATCCAGCATGGAAAAAAAGTCAACAATAAAAATAATATTTCAAATTTAAAAAATGTTATTTTATTTATTATAATATATAGAATAGAATATGGAATTATTCTATTTATTTATTAGTTTATTTTGTAGTATACGGTAAATAAGTAAAAGTAAGAAAATATATTACTGATTAGATAACGAGGGAAGATCCAAAAGTTTAGCAGTTAGTATCCTTCTTTAAGAAATGTTAATATGTCAGAGGAATGCGCACGGATATTTAAAATTTCATGCAAGAAAATAAAAAGTGACTTCGATCGTTCGGTGTTAAGAGTTTATAATGCCTTCTTTCGTCGTTTAAGTCTTGGGCCATGAATATAAGATTTTCTTTGCAAGAAAGGCATTTCAAAAATTGTCTGTAAACTTTCAATTCTATTTATATATACGTTATACTAGAACTCCAAATGAGAGAAGCAAACTTTATTCTGCTATGAACATAGGCGCGATAAAGGCTATGATAAGCGCCAGTTCTGTTGAAAACCTTAACATAACTATTAAGAAAACAGGATGATATTGTCATATCAGTCTACTTCCACAAACTACAAATTTGATAAAGCTAAACGTGTTAGTTATGTGACAGAAGATGCTGATGACTTTACCGTAGCTTCAGAGTTCTGATTAGCTTAGAAATTTTGTGTGCCTTCGTTGGTATTAGCTTAGTTAAAAGTTCGTAGTTCTGCTTATAAAAAACAGATAAAAGAGTAATAGGAAGAATAGGCTGACGATTAAAAGAAATAAAGGTTCGTGCCCAAACATTCCTACTCTTCCCTGGTTAGGACGGTGGAAATAATTTTAGGATTGTTAATTTTAAGTTCAATTTAAACCAGTTGAATGTTAAATTTATTTATGAAGTTAAAGATATCGATCTGTGATTTTTTGATACAATTATTGATCAAAGTCAACATCAATTAATAGATTCACATTCCTTGTTCCATCAGTGCATAATATATCCCATTGTTAAGATGACAACTATCTATAACAAACCCCTCGTGCCTACCAATAATGAATACTGCAGATCTTTTAGGATTTGTCGTTAACTTATTATCTATTATCTATCCACTCTCTCAGCCACTTTCAGCTTTGCTTGCCCAACATTTTTGGAAGAAAATGGAAAAAAAAGTTCATTAGTTTTGATGGTTTCTTCAAAAATACCAATTCAAAACAACTCGGCTCAGTAGCGGGCATTCTTTCAAACAATCATTGTAGGAAGGGGCGGACTATAAATAACGAAAAAAAAGTATTTATTTCCGACCGCCTGAATCAACACTGCCGCATTAAATTGATGGATGGATTTACTTTGGCTTTGGCCTCTATCTGCCTTTTCAAATTTATAAGTAGTTTTTAATATTTACCGTTGGAAGGAGCTACAACCTGCGGAGAAAACCCGAACTTTTCAATAGCACTAAAACCGTTGAAAAAACAAACGCCGTAAACTTTTAACGACGTTCGAATAGCTATTTAGGATCTTTTAGTATTATTTTAATGGATCTTTCGCCGCTCATCTAATAAGCAAAGCGTAATCATTTTCGCTAAGTAATTTACGCTGGAAAAATTTCGGTGAAATCGTATACGCAAACGGTTTAAATCCGTTAAAACCCATAAATCGAGAAACGAATACGGAAGAAATTTTTGGAACAATGCAACTAGAGGCAAAAAACAAACAATGTTGCATCAATCAAATTTTACGGCTCGGGACTATAAAACTCAAAACCGGGTAATATGGATGGTCAACTCTCAAAGTTTTTAATGCGAACAACTTAGGGAACAGGAGACACCGAATTTTTCGAAAAATCAATGAATATATTCGAATGCCGTTTAATCTTTCTAGAGCTACTAGACGATATTATATTAAAGATAGTACGCTGACGGGCCAAAAATTTAGGTCACTCAATAAATTACAAATTCTGTGGGAAAAAAAGTTTATCACGAACTAATAGGTGGTAAATTATATATCCTACTCTATTTGGCTATCTGAATTTCACATTTGATAGGAAAATCTGATATTGGTTTTCATGATTTTGTCGGAAAACATAAAATGTCTATTATAATTAAATCCCAAATAATTTTTATTAGTAATTAAAGAAGCAAGTAACAATTAACAGTATTGACAACACCTGAAAATTAATAATGTGTATTCTTCCTATTGAGTTTATGACTGCTCGTAATCGACGAAGCCTGCTTTGAATTAAATTACGTATTACATTCAGGCCGATGTTGGTCCATTCCTGCATAAGCAACTTTCTCAGCTGTTGGACACTTCTTGGAGCTGGTGTATGTCTTCCAATATGTCGTTCCATCTCATAACACACATGTTCGATGGGATTCATGTCTGTACTGAGTACTGGCCAATCAAAAAGCCTAAAATCCACCTCATCCAGATATTTGCTGACAATTCTGGCAGTTTTGGGTCTAGCATGTACCTGTGAGCTGTCAGAGAGCCATTCTGTATAAAGACCAGTGCTTCCGAACTGATTCCAGCCCAAACCATAACCGAAGCACCACGGTGTGGAAGTCTTTCATCAATAAAACCTGGAGCATATCTTTCTCAGGGTCTCCTTCATACTTTCTGACGTCCATTTGATCCAATGAGGCAAAAACGTGATTCATAGGAAAACAGTGCATTACTCCATTCCAGCCTAAGTGATTTCGGCCAAATTTAATATTGCTATCCTTCGTCCTTGCATCCTTCGACAAGACAATCCATTAGCACGAAGCCTTCTTCTAACAGTCCCTTCGCTAACATTAACATTTCTAAACTCTTGAAGTTGATTTCGAAGCCAAACAGCAGAAGCTATCGCATTCCGCCAACTTGCAGACTACAAAAATCGATCAACCCTTTGGTTGGTGATACTTCTTCGATCGAATCCTGGTCTTCTAGTGATCAAGCCAGTTTAATCGTAGCGTCGGTAGATATTTTATACAGCACATCTTGTATTAATGCTGCAATTATAGCCACAACAATAAGATCTAAAGGCATTATGACCAGTTAAATACACCTCAGATCTAAAATACAAGAAACAATCATAAGTTTTCTGGAGATAAATGAACAATAAACTGGAAAGTACCCAACGTACTATTTTTTTATTAGGCGGAACTTACATTATTTCATAAAAAGTGGCACCTACGCTGACAATAACTGACAGATAACAAATAAGCAAATAATTCACTGGTTACTAGACCGACGATTCGGTATTTTTTTTTTAAATTGTTGGAAATTTCTTGAGTGATCTAAATTTTTTGCTCCCCAGTGTATTTACTAATCTTCTGGATTGAAAAGTCGAACTCGCTGACATTTCACCAATCATCCTATTGGCTTCTTCAGAGCTTGACTGAAACTGGCTCGCATTTTACTCTGTACCTGCTTATAAAATGTTGGCCAGGGGCAGGGCTAATGGAGGATCATGAACATTGTCTCCGAGGCTCGATTTATCAACAACCGATGTAGAAGGAAACCAGAAGATGTGTAAATAGTATTACAGTAGCCCATGGCAGTTGTGATATGCCCAATAAAAAGGCGCGTATTTATTAAAATTAAAAATTACCTTTTTTGTGCTTTTCGCTAGCTACGTCGCTAAACCTATCGCTGAGCAAATCCTGTGTGAGCGTTTCCTGCTCGTCCTGGTCGAAATTGTCTTGTTCCGGAGCAGTTATCGATAGTTTATGGCACACTTCGAACGCCTGGCCTATAGTTCGGACGACACGCATCGCCTGGCTCTGCAAAACAACAATTTACGTCACTTTTAACCCTAGCTCTGTTCACAAAATCAAAATTACATAACAATTTAAATAACATTTTATACACTACTTATTCTTAATTTAATCCACCTATGAAACAACAACGAATAGCATAAATTTAATATTTGCAGATTACCAAGAAGATTTTGTATTGTACTTTGTGCATTTTGCAGTGTTGATAAAAAGTCTATGGTCTTACCTATCGCATTTTTATTTCTTAGTGCTCTACAGAGTGGACAATTTTGCGTAGAAGTGGGGTTTCCTTTTAAAGAGCATAAACGCTTCGGCTAATCGGGGATCAATAAATCGACAGTTAATTAAATATTTGATGAAATAGAGGGAACATTATAGCGGCAATTTAGAAAGAGACATTATATCCGGTAGACTTCTTCTACTGGTCAACGGGACAGTAATGTGAAAGTAAATATTACAACCATCATCAATGATCACAAAACACAATATATATTTTTTTTAAAACCATATAACCATGCAACTATGTTGATTGTCAAGGATCCCGAGAGTAGCAAGTAGTTGACCTACCTGTTCCTTATTCTTTAAAATTACAATTATAGTTACTTTCCGATAGTTGATTACAAACTTCGTGAAAATGGCTAATGTCTCCGAATGTATTGCTGAAAAATAGTGAAAATGGAAAGTAATAAATTAGGATGAAAGAAATACTATTTCCAGGCATTGTACTGAAATTTACTTAAAGAAAGAAATACCTACCACATAGGATGATATCATTCCACCCCTGGGTAAGAAGTTGTGGAAAACTTTGAAAGAAAGGAAATACATTTTTGTTATAAAAAAACAGACAGAAAATCGCTTTAAAAATGACTAAATTATCTGCTAGCGACGATGAAATTTCGAGGAGTTAGACAGTTTCGAAAGAGAAAACAGGAATATTATCTGGCCGAAACTTGGGAAATGAAGGATACAAATGGTAAAACATGACAGGACAAAAATTCAAAAAGTGCGGGGCAACCTTTCATGGATGGATGGACCAATGGAATGAAAAGCGTTCTCGGAAAAAGTTAAAAAATTGATATGTGTAATAAATAGATTTGTCGGTGATGGCTTAGTCGCATTTCAATCAAAGCGAACTGGGTCTGTTGTAGTCATCGATAAATACCAGCCATCACTCAAGAAAATCCTAAAAAATATCCATGTCTTGGGATCATAGCAAGGCAAAACACCATTTTTAAAATGAAGGACGTTAAAACCCTCTTGAAACAGTGGATTTCGAAAAATAGAGTGAGCGTGCGGAACATGTGATTGATGACGAAAGAATGCTAGAAAACACTGTGGAGTCCATTATTATTTCTCTAGACTCCAACCACTACAGTTTATCTGTTCATATATTACAGTTTATCTATTTTCATATTATTCTTACTTCTTATATAAGTTTTATTTACTTGATCTTAGAATAATTAATATCTTATCTGCCCAACTCCGTAGTTAGAATTATGTATAATATGTATTATATTTGTTTTTCTATTAAGTGCCAAGCTATTTCCACAAATTACTTGGTTAGAAAAATGATTTTGCGCAAGTTGCATACTATTGTTTATGTCGAATTAAGCATATTACTTATTATAGAAAAATTTGAAGTGATATACATATTTTTACGTTTAGGCGTTTTACCCTTGGGTGGAAATACTTAAGTGATCTCAACTAAATAGCATTTTGCGCTCTGGTTATAAAAATAACTGTTGTTTCTTACTTTTAAATTAGATTTATTTAAACGCGATTTTTAAAAATTTAATTACATCCTACCGAATTGTTTACCCGCTAACAGACACATCGTTATTTTCCAGAGCTCCGATGTAGTTATTCCAGGTTAGATCGTCCAGATGTTCCGGCAAATGATTCCGTTTGAACGGTCCCGTTTATTTTGAAACTTAATTCGTTTTTATTAAAATTTATGGGCCTTATTTTTGAAATAAATCGGAGTTTCAAGTTGGGAATGGCGTTTTCTTTACACGTTTATTTGAAAATTTCGAAAAAATCCAAGGATGAATCTTTCGTTGGGCTTCACTTCTTTCAAAGTCTACAATCCCGTATGGCGTTTTTTACGAACGGTAGCCTCTTTTATTTTTATTTTACTGATGTATTATGTTACTACGTTAGTTCCAAAAATTCAAACTATGTCTCTATAGAGCAAAAATGAAACAACGAAGCGGTCGTTGGTATCCCACTGGGAAGCATTCCGGGTACTTTCCTTGTTGTGTACAATTTGATAAAAATTTGAGGCATTCTGAGAGCCATACTTACATGATAAACAATTGCAACCGTTATATATTCCCGGAGAAAGTCGGCAAGCATGTGCTCTTGCGAATAAGCAAAGTAAAACTAGTTAGTGTTACTGAGAACATGTCTTTCTATTCTTCTATTCTTCTTTAACTATTTTTATTATTATTTAATTCATGTCGTTAGAACGGGTGTTTCTTCTAGGTGAGTAGCAACAACATCAGGAAGAATTGCTATTAAGCTTGTGCTTGTGACTGCTTAAGGACCCTTATGTTGCAAGCACTACAGATATCTGCATCTCGAGATGGGACCCTGGCTGCATTGCGATGCTTACCGGAATGATATTCACTTTAGCAACCTACCATATTTGTTTAAGATCGTCTTTTGTAGGTTACTGGTACTCTGGTATCTACGTATTGCAATGTCGACCAAAGTATATTATTATTATTTATACTACAGGAGTTTGATGTGCTCAATCGGCTACATGTTATTAAACAGACATTCGGGTTGCAAAGTATATTTATATGCATGACTTTGAACCTGTAATACCTAGGTAATGGACATTGAGAAACTTATGACCGTCTCTAAGATAAGAAAATCTTTAATAACATACTTTTTGCGAAAATGTTGTTTTAAGAATTTAACATTAAAAAAAATCTTTTCTAAAGTGTCATTAATCAAATTGTACCTGTTTGAGGGGCGGAGCTAAAGGAGGGACATAAACATTGTGTCCGATGACTGATTCCTAAATTGGTGAAAGTAAAGACCTGGATCACAGTTAAGATTGTTTGTTTGCTTAGAGATTTCTATGGATCCTCAGATTTGGCTTGAGCAAAAGAATTGATTGCATGCAAGGATTTTAGTTTGGTCAAAAAATTTGATGTCCGGTTTTATGTTCGTTTAGTCCAGTTCATACTTTTCGTCGATCGACGATGTTGCGAGGTTTTTGGACAAGCGTCTTTGTGCGTAGTTTTCTGTGAACTGAATGACCCAATGCTAGATGTGATTTTCGATTAATGAGAATATCTAGGAGTGGGATATTATTGTTAATTCTAATTCAATGGTAACACGTATGTTAGGGTATAGAGAGCTTAAATGGTTAAGAAAATCTTTCTTCCTTTTCTTAATCACGAATCCAAATAAGAAAAGTGTAATCGATGTCTAAATCGTGCGATAACTGGTGATAATGGAGAACCCAAAGCTGTTCCTGATATTTGTTCATAAATTTGACCGCTACAATAAAAATATATTCAAGATGAGGAGATTTGATTCTAATTTTATTTTAATATATGGCGGATATCGTAAAATAAATAAAAATTGTAAAAATAGAAATAAAAACTCGGGGTGAGGGTGCTGATGGCGACCGAGGCGACATGGGGTTGGATTTCTCGGACATAATAAAAGAATGCACACAACACAGTGCTTAAAAGAAATGAATGATCGCTTAATTGATTATGAATCCGCGACTCGCTAGATCAACTACAAAATAGCCATGACAGAATTGTAACTGTTTAGTCTAGAAGCTTAAATAATACGAGTCAAAAATAAACATTTCCTAACACTCAAAACGAAATATGGGAAAATATCGACCACTTAAAGCTAAGGGTGCCGACATATATATCAGATTAAATTGAGTTTCAGGAATACGAATTTAGTTTTGGCTAGTTAGAATCAAATGTAATTTGTAATTGTTAAATGAAGTAAACTATCAGTTTTCCCTATAAAGGATTTTAATATACAAGCTAGATATTTTGCTAGGGAATAGGTTGGAGAACTAATAGCTTTAACAATCGGTTTGCGAACTTTGGGGAGTCCCTAAAGACCTGGATATTTAGAGTCGCAAAGGGTAATGTCTTTTTTTAACGGATTCTAATAGAGAAGGAGCTTTTACAGCACATTTAAGGTTGCGTTCCGTAGATGCCGCGGGATCTTTTTAAGTTGACGATAGGATCCGTTTGTAACATCTGCTTTTGAAATTAGTTTGTTAGACCAAACTTTACCAATAGCATATTAATAGCAGATTAAAAAAGTCAAAGCATGCCATCTATAAAGACATTATTCTAATATTTCTAATTTTTGTGACTTTTCGGGTATCATGTAATAGACTATTATAAATCCAGTATGGTGTCCAAAAGAATAAATAAAGTTTAAAGGTGGTTCGGGTATGAGCGACTTAGCGACTTACGTCCAACTCAGTGTCTTCGAAGCTAGGCACCCTATGAACGCCATTCGTAACGACCAATCCCTTATCATTGTCGGTCCTGATGCGTGTACAAGCCTTCTTAGACAACGTACGGCATTCAGAGTTGTTATTCACTTTACAAAAGTCCACTTCCGGATCGCGAAACGACAACTTTTTCCGAGGCCGCTCGAGCGCTAGAGCTTCCGTGTTGATTCTTTCACTCGGTTTATCGACGCACACCGTAGCAGGTCGAGACCTGCTCAACGGTTCACCGGCGAACACGTCGTCGCCATCGTCATCGAACGATGAGATTTTGATCGCGATAGGGTACGACGTCAACGACAGTTGCTTTTGCAAAGCACGGCTGGTGATGCTATGGTAGGTATCACTTTTCTCTTTGCCGGAATTGTGTTTGAAAAAATAGTCGAGAGTGCACTGCGTCATCGATTTGGACAGCGGTTTGTTTTGCTGCTGTTTGTGTTTGAGCGCGTCACCCAGTGTCAAGAGTTTATTTCTGGCTCTGGTTAGCACATCGCGCTTCTTGCTTGATTCCAAGTCGGGCAGGTCAAGGCTGGAATGTCTCACGCTAGTCAGCTTTGGTTTCTTCTCGCTCACCGCCAGAGCCATCTCTTACGCATGGCCGCGTTTCCCGTTTGAGTGAACTGAATTTTATCAATATGTCAATTGCAGCGCACGGAGGCCAATTTCGAGGAAATCGCGGTGAAAAATCGAAACTGCCAACCTGACAATTTCAGGCAAACTTACATTACATTACATGATTGACTTAGTTTCTAAAAATCTTGAAGCTGCAATGGGGCCTCTGCAATGGGTGGTAAGAATTTTTAAAAATCCATATGCAGATTGTCCCGAAATTCGTTGGCGAAACTATAACAGCATATTCTACGTCCCAAATAAGCCCTACTTTTCTACATAAAGACATGTGGAGAAACACCCCCTAACGGAGCCACATGCCCTTAAAGGAATGCATGATTTTTTTTATATTAATATTTCCAAAAGAGGTTGAGAAGAAAGTATTCAAATTTCAGCGTCTTAGTAATTATTAATGTCAAATTTTCATTAGGGGCGCATCTTTTAAGGGTACAGGCAACATAAACTACAAACAATTATTTATGGGCTGGCTCTTAGAGTTTTTTTTTTCTAAAATTTCGAAAATGGAGTAAAGAATACACTGTTTATCATACTCATCTTATCTGTTCATCAAAAACTGAAAAATAGATATTGAAACCGATTGATAAGTTTGTTTTCTGTTACTTGTGAATTTTCATTTTATTGCTCATTAGCAGGTTACCTTTATGGAAAATAAATTCATATTGAATAATTAAGTTTTAAAAAGCGAAGAACCTCGAAAAGGTTGTACCTAATTTGATTTTCAGCAAAATTAACTCGCCTTAGTAATTCTTGTGGCACAAATAGAATTACCCATATTAATCCACAGATAATATTTCGTGGATTTAAGTCAGGTGACTGACCTAGGAAATTTACTGGGACACCTAAACCTATCCAATTTGTTGTATAATTGAGCTGGTCCTGCTGCTGAAAGAAAATCTTCAAGCAGAGACAATGTGAACAAAAAAAAACACCACAAATGTCAAACTGAGAACAAAATGTCGATCTTATTAATCTTTATTTTTTATTTATAAATAATGGGCGTGCTACACAGTATATTTTTGAAATCCATTTTCCTCGGAAACGGTCCATCCTAGCGATATTAATCAAGTGTAACAGAACATAACTTTTCCGCATTTAGAAGAAAAAAATCCAAAAGTCAACCATGATACGCTCCTGACCAACATGTTTCGGATATATTAATGAAAAATCATTAGGGCTTATTTTGGTCGTAGAATATACTGGTAGAGTCTAGCCCACTAATTTCAGAACACCCTGTATTTGAAATAAGTAAAAACGGTTTTATTTTCAAGAAAATTTTGATTTAATTACATCTAAATGAAACAATAATAGCGTACTTTTCAATGTAGGATTTTGATATCAGGCAAGTGTGGCTTCGAGTCATCATCGCACATTGCTTGAAATTTGTGCATAATTATTTAAATGATTCAGGACTTTAGAGGAATGTTTCTGTATGGCGTGTGGTCTCGCAACGTATACTTTACACTGAAGGTACCATCACTATCTATAGCGTACCTCTCTTATTGGAATGTGTTCCTGGACATGCGACTTTTGTTACGAGGCTAACTTAAGTATAAGGTATGCGCTAATAAACTTCGCCAAGAAATCGCAACACAACCTGATGAAGCGATTGTACGAAAGATGGCACACATGAATAAAATCACCCTCGGGAAAAGGTACAATATCACACATCTTTTCGAGCATTTCAATCAAAACGGATCATGATGTTTTTGAAGACTACTTGCGGCAAATCTTAATCCTTCTGGATTATGCCAGATACCACTCTAAGAAATCAAGAAAATACCCACGTCTTCATTATCATTGTATATCATAATATTTATTACAATTTATCTACTTTCATATTATTCTCACTTCCATATATCTTTTCATTTACTTGATCTTAGAATAATTATGATAACAATTATCTGCCGATAAACCACCTGTAGTAAAGCCGCTGTTGCAGGAAACTCGTCTTCCTATTGTATCGAAATTAGTGTGACCCTAATGTAGTAACGACTAGAGGTGTGTTAAAAACTGAAATACCGGAAATTGCCATTGCAATTTATGATAAAATCAAGTTTTCCACCCTATTTAATGATCCCCGTTATGCAAAATTTTATTACTCCCTCGCATTAAGAAACGAACTATAGCTTCTTTTTTACGTTTATCCAATCTGGTTTTGATAAAGGAAAAATATGTTCCTTCACTATCGTCTAAACGGTGAGATTGATAACCACTACATCTTTTTCTGTCATGCAATAATTCACTATTAACAATAGCCACTATCGATGGTATTGGTGGTTTTCCAAGTAGGAAGGTGTCTTATGAAGTTTTTTGTTTAATGAATCCTCAGTATCGTAAATATAAAATAGAAAATGTCGTAGGGGATTATAATATAAAATAAAGCGACCTTGATAAGATTTGGTCGGTATGGAAATACCCTAGAAACTTGGACCGAGATCCCGTGACTCGTGTTTAATAAAATATTGGAAATTTCTGCCAAAATTTTAATGAGCGTGCACCTTGCGATTTATCACTCTTTCCGAAGTTTCGGTTTACCGAAAACCCGGTCATTTTTTAATCGACCGCGACGGCAGAAATAAATAGAACCGACGTCATAATTGTGAACATCATTTATAATAAGCATTGTTAAATTTGAATTGCGTCTGTTGGCAAGCGAGCTTTTAAGAGTAGACAACGATCAGGGAGAAGAAATTGCAGCACCTCCACAAGAGAGATAAGTTGGAGGAGAGAATGGCATTTTGCTTGCAATTGACACGTTGAAAATAAGCCGGATCTGTACCCTCGTATTACACAAGTAAGGTTGTGTGTCTCGATGAACACCACGTAGCCACTACGACTTCCACTAACACAAGGAAACGACACATGGTGACTATTTTTCGTAGTACGCGATGGGAAATAACCGCGAGAGTTCGCGCGACAGTAGCGTTGAGACTCTAGACGTTTTGTTCCTCGCGAGCCGAGTGCCGGAATAATCTGCCTCACCTATCGCCAAACTTTGTGATTTTATTTATAGTACGCACCGACCGAACGTTTACGAAGTCGAAATCTGCTTGAAAATAATGAGCCATTAATGCATTACGGCTCGTTTCTTTTTTCTCGATGCAAGGTCTAGTCTTTGTTTTATGCGCATTTTATTCGCGTAAGTTGACTACTCGGAATGGCCGTTGCCTTTTTTGAAAATTTCATTTCATTTTACAAGATGTTCGCTGCAACAATATATATTGACTGAGCCCTGAGAAACTGAAAAATAATGTTTTTATAAGAAATAGAATTTTCGCTGGTGAGATAACTTCCTCCGTAAAGTTCAACTAGACCCTCAAGAGTGGTAGTTGCACACATCTTGGGTCTTCAGGTCCTTTTCATTGATTTACTGCTTCTTGGCTGTATCTTTTTGGATAATTGGAGAACTATGAGAAACCGCAAAAGTGGGTAACTTGACCGAACTCTTTGTTTATTTAATGCTATTTACAAATCTTCTGGACGTCTCCTGCGCCGGTTGTTAATAAATCGAACTTGCTGACGTTTCACCAATCATCCTGTTGACTTCTTCAAGGTTTAAATGGTAGTGGTTGGCATTCTACTCTGTATCTTCTTAGATATTATTTGAAGGGGATTGGTGAAAGTTAATGATTTGGGCTGCGGTTAAGATGTTTTTTCTTCTATAGATTCTCACATTTTTCTTTGGCTGTAGAATTGATTAAATGTAGGTCTCTAATTAAATCATTAATTTGCTCTGATTAAACACTTTGGGCTCTCTGAAATCTGGTTTGAAATCTGAGTCCTCTGATTCTGCCTATAAGACGGTTTCTAGTTCTTTTGGGCGGTGGGTATCGGTACATTTCATACAATATGTTTCTCATTTTTTCTGTTACTTATAAATTACACGAAAAAAAAAAGAATAATCACTGTGATTCCTAGGGTTGCGATATACCATAGTCATACCAAAGCTATCTTCCTACCTTTTGCCAATTTCTTAATGCTTCAACGCAAACGGAACAAATATGGACTTGTCTTGGTAGCCAAAATACATTTTTCACAAAAGAAGTTATAGTTTGCCTTTGCTTTACTACGATATAACTACCACAGATATAACAAAAGTTATTTGGATTGTTCACTACGACCAACAAAACCAAACGAAGCATAAGCAGGTTACAACGCTGTATTGACGCTTCTGCGCCAACTCTGTTGCTTTGCAGAGAAATATAATAGTATCGAATGTTCCCAAATCAATTTAATTTCATAAAAATCAATTCAGTTAAAAGTCGTGCCTAACATGGAACAAACTTATTCAGGTCATAGGTATATATATATTAATAAAATAACATTTTTAAGACATAGAGAGCTATAAATAAAATTAAGTGATAGACCAAAATATGGCGTTTGTTTGGAAAAACGACCCCCACTATAGACCTGTGCAGTTTGTCGACTCGATTGCCTACTCATCTAGTAAAATGGCACTTTCGCGATTTGTTAGGCGAACTGCTATTGTGATCCCTATTGTAAACCTGATATTAAATAAATATGTTTTGTTGTCAAGTTTATCCGCTTACAACCTTGCATAATATACTGAATGACAATTTAATGTCAGAATAATTTAAACTTATTTACGGAATTTTTGTTTAGTTTATCGCATCAGCATAATATAAATTTTTATGGACCACTTTAAAAAATATAGGTTTTGCTTGGGAAAAGTATAACCATAACGTTACTGGTAAGCCATGAAATTGCTTGCTGGCGACGAAAATACTTGGGAAGTGTAAAGCAGTACCAACTAGAACAGAACATATTTAATTTTTATTAATGAAGGGTATATTAGTAATAGGAACGTTTATGGATTCTCAGCTTTTTCTTTGGTTGAAGAATTGATTAAATGCAGAAATTTTTTGGTCGAATAAGATTGGATGTCCGGTTTCGTGATTTTGTTCAGCAACTGTTAATGAATTTATTTGTCGTGGCCCTAAGGCTCTTGCATGTTTTAGCCTAGGTGATATTTTTCCTCCAGTTTCTCCAATGCATTCTTTACCGCATATTCATGGAATGCTGTAAACTCCTGGTGTGAATTTTGTCTTCGACCGATCGAAGGTGTTAAGAAATTTTTGCTCTAAACCTTGTATTTCTTAAGAATTATGATATGTGGTCAGTGGTGTTTTGACCGTAAAGAAGGACCACAGCAGCCAGTGTGGGGTTGCTCTCGGGCTTATTTTCGTTAGGAGGTTATGATGAAGTGTGTGTAGGTTTTCGGTAAACTTGATAAGCCAATGTTACGTCTGATTTTCTATTAATAAAAATATCTAAAAATGGGATATTATCGTTGTTTATTAATTCAATGATAAAACGTATGTCAGAGTGTCTATAGTTTAAATTGTTAAGAAAATCGCGGAAGGTTCTTGACCATAAGGCCAAATATCGTCAACGCAGAGTTGGTAATAGATAGAACGTATCGGTACGGTAGCCTTCTTCCTAATATATTGGCGATGACTTGTGATAAGGGAGAATTCATAGCTGTTGCTGATATTTGTTCATAAATTTAAGCATTTCAAGAAAAATTTGTTCCAGACAAGCATGTTTGATTGCAAATTCTGGGATTTGAATATATGTCAAATAATATTGAGAGTTTCAGTAATAGGGACTTAGAAACTAACCAGAATATAGTTTAGATCTAATGTAATGGATTTTAATTGTTCAACGAAGGGAAATTAACTACGAAACTATAAGTTTTCCCTGTTAAGAGTTTTAATATAAAAACCAGATAATTTGCTAGAGAATAGGTTGGAGAACCAATACTGCTGATAATAGGTCGAAGAGGTAATCCTGTTTTGGGAATCTTAGGAGTCTGTAGAAAAGAGGATTTTTTGAGTCGTGGAGGATAAAGCGTTGTTTCACGGATTCTAATAGACAAGTTTTAATAGCACATTTAAAATTTTGAATTTTTAGCTGCTTAAGATGGCACTTTGTTTAGGATAGATTCGACGTTTGAAATGTTGATGATTTGAATTGTTTTGTGATAAAATAAATAATAATAAATAAATTCTTGTAAAGTTACTCTCATTAGGCATTCAGAATGACCTAACGAACACTTAACCCACATTCATTATTATTAAAAGAATTCTGTTAGGACAAAATACAGTGTAGCTTGCTACAAAGTTGTACGCATATAAGTTGTATAGAATTTAGTTCGCAATGCACAGGACACTTATACTATGTTTTTTGATATATCTTCTACTGCATATTTAATTGTTATTTGTTCATAAATTTAATTTTAATAAAAAGGTAAGGAGCAGTCAATAAAATATTATTGAAAAGAGTAATTGTAATTTCCTTCTATTCTCCGTTATTAACCATTTGGCCTCCTTCAGTTTGTGGGACACTTTCATATTTACCTCAAGCACGATTTTTTGGCCCTCTGAATTCTATTATTCTCAATATTGTCTAAACACGGAACATCCACATCACCATAGTGGTGGCCAGAAGATATTGTATCATTTGATAAAAATAGTCTTCAAAAATAGCCGGATTTATGTCCCTGTCGTAGTGGTCGTAATAAAAATTCGTCTTTGCATCCAATATGGACGATTATTAGTCCCTTTCCTTTTTCTGAAGGCACCTTAGTACAACTAGAGAGGCCATCTAAGAAAGTTTGGCGAGTACTGGTTATATTTTGGTATTGCCACATTTTTGGTACTACATAACAGTGAAGAACCAATTTCCCATCAAGAAAAAGATTTTCTTCTGGTGCCTTTTCATTTTTATTCAATTTCATCGCTTTCTAGTAAAAGTGCTATATGATAACGCTTTTCCCAGGAAAAATCCATATCTTGTAGAATGGTTCATAAAAGTTTTCTAGTAATCAGCGAGAATGAACATCCCGGTCGAGACCATTTGTGTTATCTTATGGTGGGCACTTCATTTTTAAAATAAAAAAATGAACCTTTCATAGAAACATATTTTTGATTAGTTCAGTCTCCATTAAGAACTTTTACTGGTCTGTCTGAACTGTTGACAGGTTACACTTGACCGGTTTCCTGTCTCTCCCGCGATAATTTAAAAACAGGGTATACCTTTTTAATATTTATATTACCTCAGAGCCTGTAAAAAATATCAAAAATATCTTGAAAGACAAATAAATAATAATAAAATAATTTAATGCTATACATATAGGGTGTTTTTATTTTCAGAAACAGGCAAATTTCTTACTTTAAATAGAATCCCTTGTATGTAAAGGCATTTTTGAAATCTCTTGCTAGACATATTTTTTATCAAAAGCGACTATGTGGTTATTACTAGAAGAAGAAGACAATTTTATAATTTTATCGCATTTAGCATTAAAAAAAGGAGTGACCTTGTATAAGGCCTAGTTACAAAAAATTGCAAGTTTCGAAATATTAGTTATTATTGCAGTATTTGACACATCACACCTAAAAAAAGCAGTACAGTATTTGGTCAGGCATAACCACAAAAAGCCTTACAATCCTAATATTATAATAGTATGTATTTCAAATTCTAATTATCTCTTTAAAGTGCCAACGTAAACATCTATCAGTAATTATTTGGGTCAATGTTTGCGTTGGTCCTCTGCATACATCAGATTTTTAAATGTCCTATTTTTTTAACTAATGGTTTTTTTTTTGACAAAAATATAAATCAACAATTTTCGCAAGTTCGCTTGCGTATTCATCGTGCGGAGTTTTAAACATGACGGACAAGCGTTTATTTTTAGAATAATAAATGGTTAATCAAACGTCCAGAAACATACGTGGGTTGCAGCACAGACATCATCTAATACAAAAATATGGGCCAACTTTTACAGCATCTATTCTACACCCATAAATCGGCTTTTATTTCGCCGTTTTGTCCGGAACAAATTGACAGGCAAGCCGAACCGTTATCATATATCGCCAATATTTTCCGTGATGGGCCTTTGCTTCGCCGCAAAATTTATTGACACACC